AGATGAAGATGAAGATGAAGATAAGGATAAAAATCATAACCCCTTAACTTTAACTCATCTTAACTTAAAAACTTACTCCACCTGAGCTCACCACACATTAATTCACCACACTTTAACTCCCCACACCTAAATTCACCACACCTCAACTCGCCACACCTTAACCCCCGCACCTAAATCCACCACACCTAAATCCACCACCCTTAATTCACCACACCTCAACTTTCTCACCACACCTTAACTCACCTCAACTCACCACACCAAAATTCACCACACCTCAACTTTCTCACCATAACTTAACTCACCACACCTGAATCCACCACACCTAAATGCACCACACCGTAACTCCTACACCCAATTCCACCACACCGCAGCTCACCACACCCAATTTCACCACATGACATGATATCACTTGATGTGGCATCAAAGGCAACATCATTTGGCATAAAATGAACCAAAATAATTAAGATTTAGATAGAGGTGAAAAAAGAGATAAAAAGGAAATACAACTGAAGAGTGTGCGATGTTATATTGTGGTGTGTTATGCTTCATATGTTATGTTATTTATTCTTATGTTATGGTTATGTTATGTTATACCAAGTACTAAGCTAAACTCCCCTCCACTTAACCCATTCCAACTAATGTTATTTTAGCTTATTCAACTTACATAAACTATCCTTAATTTTATCGGTTGAATTTCAACCGCTGGGCGAACACTAGTATAAATAAAAAGTGAATTTTGAATTTTTTATTAGTTATGACACTTCAGCGATGATGTTTGTTACGTCTTTTTGCATTTCAGGTGATGAAGTGCTTTTTTCTCAAATAGCTTTCCACCACGAGTGGTGAATGAGAGAGCTTTTTTGTGCTAGAATGATAAAAGTCGTTCGAACTATCTTGCCATCTGTCTTTCATTTGTCTTACGATCTTAGTCAACTGCAGTTAATTCCCGATATAATACCGAATTAATGAGTTGATCCAGATCAACCCTACCGTCTCCAAAGTATTCAGTACTCATAAAAGAACTCAAAAGTACCCAGAACTTAAAAGAACTCGAAAGTACTCAGTACTTAAAAATACTCTGTTCCAATCATCACTTTGACGCATACACTCAGGATCGATTCAAAGTACTCAGTATTACTTAAGTGACGAATAGATACTTAAAAGTACTGAGTTTTATTTATATATATTTACCGGTATTCAGAAATGATTGTTCTCAATTTGAAGTTCATATAGTTTTCCAATACAATACTTATATCCACTAAAGTTAGCCATTCATTTGACGTAATTTTGGATTAATATTATTGATGTGAATAAAGTGCTGAGATTTCTACACTATGCATTGAAATGTTACCAACACGTGTACATATAAGTATTTAAAGAAAGTACTCAGTACGCTCAAAAATACCCGATTCTTAAAAGTATCGATACTAAAGAACTCGATCCTCAAAAGTACTTGTTAATGTATTAATTCGTTATCTGGCAACTCGGTAACACTTTCAACTTCGAATGCCCCTTATTCTTTTTCTGGTTAAAATTACTTTTATTTAAGTAATACTTGTAAAATTTATTAATACCACGACAGAAAGGTTTATTGAATTATTGATAAAATGTATGCGCTATTCGCGCGAGAAAATTCTTTAAGTGACAGAAAGGAATCAGCTGACTTCTAAACGCATGTATTACTACATTATCAGACTTAGCGCCTCGTTAAGTCGGTAATGATATATTCGGTAATTTACAAAAACAAAACAATGGTGGGAATTACCGAATACCGAATTAAAACCTTAACGAGTATGGTCTGAATACCCTTATTATTCGCCACTGTTTCGGTAAACAAGAGCGTTCAAGCTCAAGCTATTGCTCAGTAAGTCGTCGGGAGAATCTGCAAATTATCATCAAATACTCCTCTATGCGAATCGAGTAACTTTTAAATCACTGAACAATCTTCCAAATGCTAGCTGGGATAAAACTAATGTTTGTATGCATGTACATAGATATGTAGTATGTATGTGCCACAAACAGTATTGCGTTCCGTTATTGATAGTAAATTATTTATAATCGGTATTCTATATAGTAACTTAATCGGATTAAAGTACATTTATGTGATTTCAAAAGCGCAAAATATCAGCAAAACAAACATGTGATTAAGAAAAGAAAATAAACCTTTATGTTAACTGTATAAGTAAATAAATCATTTAAATTTTGATTTGCTACGACTTGAGTAGAATTTATGACAAATATGTTGTTACATATATGTATATAATACACATACACCCGACGACAAAAAACAGTTTTCATTTCAA